CAAAGTAAAAACACTTTACTGGAAATAGACTTCTGAGGCTATACAAAATTATTGATTAATAGAGATGCTAAGAATCAACATAAAAGAGTTTATTAACTGTAAAGAGAGGTAGCAGTAATTCTGATATACACTTTTGCAAAATATAACCAACACTCACGTACTTACTTTTCTGTCAGTTTTAGCAACTCTGTTTCTGAAGATCCATTCACCTACCTACAAAAAAAGAACAGAGGTTAGCAAAAAATACAAATCTATTCATCATAAGCATATGTTTTTCTGTTAAGCAAACCAGACGTACAATCTAAATGTTTTAACTGCCTGTACCCTGCAATCTGTCTTTGTAAAGAAAAATAAGATTCATCATAAGATGCATGTGATGCATGTGACAAGTTAATTAAAAGCTTGATCTAAAAAAGACTTTTCTTTGGTAAAAAAGAGTGAATAAAGAAGCTCTTCCCTCAACTACAAGATGCATCTATGTTCATAGATTTTGACCCTAGCATTGGTTCAAATGAACCAGATTATCTTCTTATAGTCCCATTTTATAACAGACTTGACCTTAAGTTTGTTCTACAATCAAGACACAGAACTAGTCTGATGTAGCTACAGGTTAGGAATCAAAAGCTGACTAAGCGAACCAGCTAATCCTAGTTTTGGTAAGGACAATAGTGAGAGAATCCACTGTCCCTGCCCTCTCCAGTAAGCTCCACATAAGATTTACTAATTCTGAAACCACTGCTCATATTGTTGCATTGGATGGTCAGGTACATCATCAGAAGCACCTTCCTGGCACCTTCACAGTAACTGCCTCAACTTTTTTTTTTTATTTTGTACTTCACTGACCTTTTCTAGAGCCTTAAAAATGCACACCAGGGCTATATGTGTATGAACAGCTCTTAGGCCAACCCCATGCCCTCCTTCCCACATTAGCAGAAGGATGCTCTATCTGCTCTTAGCTGTCCCCACTGTCCTCTTTTCTTTGTGCTCAGAACAGTACTTGAACATTTCTGTGTTTTTATGTACCAGGAGGGACAGAATTAGCTACAGCAAGACAAAATCATTATGCTGAAAAAGCATGCTCGGCCCTAAAACACTTCACTGCCGGTCCCTCATGCCCAGCCCTTACCACTCCTTGTGTCTATACTTTCCCACAGCTGGGAAGCACCTGGAGTGCCCACAGCACCCACTCCCTCCCCTGCTCATCCACAGCCCACCCACCTCTCACACAAACAGAGATTTAGGTACTTGATGGCAACCCTCAGTTTTTTAGACAAACAGCAAAATACCAGAAGCTGAATTCAGAGGAGGTTTTCAAGTGGGCTGCTTTTTTCTCCATTTGTACAAATACAGTAGTATCTGTCCTTTTGCCTGCAGAACTTATTGAAACTGCTAACTGAACACAATGTTCAAAAAGCAACGCATCTCAGATAAGTACTACTGAGGCTGAGGGCAAACTTACACTTCATGCTGCTTTATCAGTCAAACCACCTCCAACATCCCAACACACGTCACTGGCAGCAGGCACCAACACTCACATACACACCCCATTATTTTATCAGGAAGCAAGGCTGATAAAAACATTCCCTTTTTTTATCACTGCCAGACCTCACTGAAATGAGCAAGAATTAAGACCAGCATTTCAACAAAAACACAAGCTGGGAAAACGTAGAGATACACGATCACAAAAGACAATTGACTGACAAAAAATATGCACTGGACAACAAGCAACTATGCAGGTGGAAGAAAAATCTCATCTGCATTTAGAGGAATGAAATGAAGAAAGTTAATCAGGCAGAATCAACCATCAAATACATTGATTTAAATGCTGGTACAGTAAACAAGTAGAAGACCAATTTTATACAGAAGACAAAAAAGACAAATTTTAGCTGGGAACAATGAGATAAAATAAGGATCTATTTGAAAATACCAAAACAAAAAAATGCTTGAATGGAAGAAAATGCAATTCCCAGCATCTTGAGCACCTTTTATCTGTTTCTATAGAAAAAGAAAACAATCCATTTCTTAACTGATGTGATCTGACGCAGCTATAATAACAACCATGGACAGTTTAAACTCTTAGGATCAATATCAGAAGATTCCATTAACAAAGACTCAAGAGCTCAAATCTCAAATATGTTATGCTGTATTGAGATTCATCTGTTCTCTCAGTAGGAGCAAAGTTGTTGTAAAGGAAAGAATGAGAAAAACCTGGTTTCACACCAAATACTATGACTCATCCTGATTAACTATTTTCTATTAGCATATACAACAAAAAAAAAAAAAAACAGTTGATGTTTATTATGATATATAATCACTTGCTATATTAATTTAAACAATCTTCCTATTGTTGATCAGAGGTGACTATTTTACCTAAAGCAAAGTCTTCTCTCAAATAAACACTTTCTGTAAGTGCAGAGATCATTCTATGAACACAACACAAGCTGCTCTACTGTAGCCAGCCACCAAGAATGGCTTTACTCCAATTAGCACTATGTTTTGGTCTATGCTAATACAGGTTTTTCCATCAGGCAGACTACACAGGTCTCTTAAGATTTTTTGCATCCTCCTGATGCATTTGCAAAAGCACTCAAAATGTTTGAAACATTTGTACACAATTCTTGTCTGTTTCCACTTACTTGAGACATCAATTTTCATCAAGTCTACAAGTATCCGCTTTTCCAGGATTTGTAATTTTTTAGCATGTGCTATCATCCTTCTGCAGAATCTACATTTTTGTTTTCAACACTTACAGCTTCCTAATCCAGATGGCTACATCTTGCCAGATGTGAACAAAGCAAATGCAGAGACAGGCAGCTGGAGTGCCTCCCATGCCACTGGGATATATCTGGTTTTATAATGTTACTTTGATAAACAGCAGAGACTGACAAATGTGAGCCAATTTTGTCTATTGTCTCTACTTTGGAGAGCTCTCAAAAAAGCTCAAATGCTTTTGTACAAGATGCTGGAGAGATGTAACTTATTGGCAAAATCACTATAAAACCTGCAATGATTCCTGCTGTGAGAATATAAAGACAGAAAATATTGTTATATCTTCCAACAATTAGACTCTGTATTTGATAATCTTCAAAGACTTCCCAGTATCTCTTACCTAGACAGAAGGCAAGGCAGATAAAAATGGGTTTGGAGGAGAAAGTTACTTTCTCATCTTCCCCTCACACTCGGGACAGGTAGAACACACTGAATAGACACAGTCCTACTGGAAAAATTAAAAAGCACAAGTGTGAGACCAAAGGGAAAAATCCAACACACCAGGAAATAAAATAACATGGGAGAGGCACTAAGAAAAACCAGAGATTTAAAGAAAATCTGTCTCTGCCTAATAGTAAATATTAGGCTGTAAGAATTTCAAAAGCATTTAGGAGTATGACTGCAACAAGTCTAGGGATATTCACCTAGATACCAAGAGGTTTTCTTCCAACCTTCCTCAACCCATTCACAATGATTTTGACTTAAAACAGCATGTGTAAACTGAAAATAATTAATAACAGCAGCAGCATTCCAATGAGGATTGACAATCCCACCACTTCCACTTCCTTACTACATTGTTCTAATATGTCACTGGGACAAGAGCAATGGAAGCAAAGCATTGGGGGCTACATTAATAGAATGACTGATATAGTAGCACTTATGTTTGCCTGACCACCTGCAGTTACCGACCTGCCTATCATCAGTGCCAGTGCCATGAAAAGCATATTCTACCAGGCTCTGATGTGACTGCTCCACCAGCAATGTCATTGTAAACAACTGCATGGATCACCACTGCTCCTGTGGCTTTCCATCCTGCAGCACAAACACTCTGACAACAAAATATGGCAGCTTTCCATACTGCTGCCATAATCAGTCAAAACCACAATGCTTTCAAAAATTACTATTGAAAGTGCCAACCAACCCATAGCACTTCACCCAGGGCAAATCACTGTATCAAACTGTCCTCACTGGCTGGGCGGGTTTCCACATTTTTTTGTTATTTCTGACCATTCCCTTGAAGTCACAGACAAAGAATTTATAGACTATCCTTGAAAACCCTAATGGAGGGGAAAGAGCCTACTTAAGGCATATGAGTGAGAATAAAGAACCATGAGGAGCAGACTTGAGATGCTTAAATACTAGTAAGGACTTAAAATATTACAGCATACCCTGTTGTTACACTAATCACATAGATTTATTCTGAAAGACTTATTCTAGTACTTATTAGGAAATTAGCTGAGTGACACACTCATGTCTTATTTACCCCTCTGGAAACAATAAGGGTAGTGATACTGCACCAACACACCCGCCACACCATCAATGCAAGTGTTTACAATGGGACTTATATAGCCTCCAAACACTCTTTATGAATTATTGTTTAAATCTACTCTCAGATGTATGTACAAGGAGGACGAGCCTTCCCTTCAGAACAAATATACAAATTAAACTGAGAATCCAAGTCTTCTGCCCCATAAGGGTTTTAAAGAGGACTAAATGAAGAGGCTCACAAGCCGTGTCGGGCGCTAACCCAGCAGCCGCCTGCCCAGCGGAGCCCGTCCTTCCCGCCGCCGCGTTCCAGCCGCCTCGCGGGCAGTGGGGCTCTCGGAGCCCCCGCCGCCTCGGGCTGCCCGGGCGCAGGGAGGGCCGCGCTCCCCCGGCCATTCCTCGAGGCTGCCGCTTCCCAGGGCGGGCGCTCCGCGACACCCGAGCACGTGCTCGCAGAGGACGCAGGAAGGCGGTCCCGGGGCGCCCCGCAGAAGCCGAGTGCGTCCCACCGCAGCCGCGGGCCGGAGGCTCGGCTCCAGCCCCGCATGTTCCGCGGAGGAAGGCGGCCGGCGGCCGCCATCGACCCCTCTCCCGGCCCCGCCGCTCACCCGTTTCCCGCTCCCGCAGCGCGGCAGTTCCGCGGCAGCCCCGCCCGTGCGCCGCCGCTTCCGGCGCTCACCGAGCCGTCGGCGGAAAGCCCCGCCCGCCGTCGCGGAGCCGCCGTCCATTGGCCGCAGCCGCGCCGGGAGCTGCGCGTCGGCGGAAGCGCGACGGGCCGGGGCGGCGGTGGCTGAGGAGGAGCCGTGTGTGCCGGGCTCTCCCGTCCCGCCGGGACCGCACCCGCGCCTCTCCGGGCCGCGTCGCACGATGGGCTCCCGTACGGGCTGAGCCCCGCCGTGACGGGTACGCCGGGCGGGGGCACCGCGGGTGTCGCGAACGCTCCTTCACAGCTCGCTGGCTTCGGGCCTTTGGGAATAGCAAGGGACGGAGTAAGCGGCTGGTCGGGGCCGCGCTGTGATGTTTTGGCCGAGGGTGTTAATACGGTGTGTGGAAGATCCTGAGCAGTCTGTGGTTCTGTTGCTTTAATGTCGCTTTGCTGGCGCTGAACTCTGGAATAGATTCCGTGTCTGGTGATTTGAGGAGGAAGGGCCGTCACGGAGTGAGTTACCCAGATCTGCCCCTCCTGGGTGAAGCTCTGGGTGAGACCAGGTGCGATTGAACCAAGCAGCTCTTCTCCCATCTTGGCTGTGCTGAGAATCCCTTTAAAAAGAGACTGTCGGAAAAGCTTTTATGGGCTTTCCCTTTGGAGCGTGGGGGAAATGGTAGCATAGAAATTATGAACCTCTGAGGGCCCTGGGTCTCTCCAAAGTGGAGGCAAAAGAAGACAGCCCAGGCCTCCAGAGCACTCCTTCCTTCTGTAGGTATTGCACATTTGTTGTCGAGTAAAACACTTGCTGCTGTATCATCTTAATTCACAATAAAGTCTCAGTGAATGCCGATTAGTACTGGGGATGAAAATGGAATCATATCATTATATCTGTCTGGGACAAAGTTCTGCTATTTTGGCCAGGGTCGATGTGACACCTATATGTAATCTGGAAAAGGAACATATATAAATTATATGTGTTTGATAGATAATCCAGGCTGGTGGTCTGGTTGCCCAGTCTTACTGTCCCTAAGCTTTTGTAGTTAGATCAGTACGTAGAAGTGTTTTGGTTCAAACCCAGATCCATTTTATGTTCCTCTTTGAGCAGCAATCTTGAGCAGATTGTATTTTTTCTTTGCTGATAGTGCTATCCTTATTTACCAACTCTTGATCCTGTTTAATATTTGCTTGACACTATTTAAGTGAGTATGAGATAAACAGATTATTCTCTTACAGCTTGTTCCATGCCCCTTGTGCAGGGCAGAATTGTAGCAAGTAGTTGATGCCCTTGTCAGGCACCAGGGAGAACATGGGTTTGGTTTCGTCCTTTACCAGACACTCAATTATTAGCCTGAGCCAAGCTCCTGCCACAACTAATGATTTGTTGATTTGGGTCTAAACTCTGTTGACACTATTAAATCAGGAAGAAAATACTGTGTTTTGAGGATCAAGATAGAAACACTCTAATTGGCCTGAGTGGGAGTGTCTTGAGACACTTGCTCACAAACCATTTGTACATACTTCAGTTGATTAAATCATAGATGTGACATTGCTGCACTGCACTTAAAAACAAACATACAAGTTTGTGCTTTTAAGTTGAAATACCAAAGTTATGAAAGTATAAGTAGATTTAGGCTCCACTTGATGATTCGGAGGCATCTGAACTGTTTTAGTGGTGTCCTCATGTGTTCTGGGATAGAGTAGGAAAGCCAATTACTGCAATTAATCATTGTCTTTCTGTGATATCCCCAATACTAATGACAGATGCTGCATTAAGCATATTGGATTGAAGCAAAACATATTCATGTACCTGATCTATTTTTCAGGAGACTTAATCATTGCTGACAGATGGCTCTTGTCAAAAAATGGCTTCTTTTAGTTCAAGTTGTTAGAAAAGACAAAAAAGATTGAATTCAAGAAGACATTGTAATGAGACATAACTCTATTGTCAAAGTTAGTATGTGAAAGTGATAAATGAAGAAGGCATTAATATAACAGAGAGGCCATTACATTAATGGGAATTGTGTGCAATTCTACAGAGGTATTGTAAAGGCTTTTAGCCAGTGCTTTAAAGTTAAGTAATGAAGGTAATACCTTGAAGATCAAGAAAGCCCCAGAAAAGCATCCAGGATAAAATAGAAATTTTGATTTCTTGAAAAGCTCTCGCAGGATATAGCCTTGAAGCCAGGCTGTACCTGACTTTCAGTTGAGTCTCCTGCAGCAAGAAAAAAAGCTGAGATGTTGTTTTTTGGTTCATTTGGAGATTTTTGTGAGGGAAGAGGATTTTTTTTTTTTCTTGTCAGCTGAGCAGAGAGACTGGTAATTGTGGAGAAATAATTTGATGAAAATCTTAAACTAATACTGGATATTTCTATGAAGTTAGAAAATTCCTGAAGTAGCAGGACTCTCAGCCTTGTAATGATGAGCCTCCAGATGACATGTCTTTTCTGGGGACTTAGCTTAAAGCTGGAACAGGCATTTTTTTACTCCTCCAACTAGAATACTTTGTTATAATAAATGGTGATAACCATACAGTTGCTGTACTCCCTCTTGTATTAAAGTTGTGTCTGTATAGTGGGTCAGTCATTAAAAATAAGCAGTACTTGCACAACAGTCCTAAACAATACAAATTGCTAAGAATATTTGGGCAGCTAAAGCAGCAAAACTGTTAAGCCCAAGTTTGTCCAGGGGAGTAGAAACAACGTTCAACCTCAGCTGTCTGGCAGCCAGTGCTGTCAGGGTACAACACTTTGAGCTACTGGAAAAAGCAGTGTGCAGCTGAAAATGGTGATTCTGTAGGCTGCTTTCATTAATAATTTCCTAACAACTGTGCTGCTAGGCCAGTAGTAATCTCCACATGATGTGTCACCTTCTCTGTGCAGGTTTGCACTGTGGCATTGTGGAATATGCAGGCTGACTGCTCTCCAGTCATGCTGTTCTCCCTGGTGCCTGCCCATTAAAATGGGAGCTGCTTTGGCCTGCTGTTGCAAGGTGCTCCAGCTTCTCTTACCTTCTAGGCAGAGTGAAATTGTTGTATTCAGATACCTGAGGTTCACCTCCAGTGTTTTCTTGTCCACTGCTGCAATGTATTAGCACTGGCAATGTAGCATAGTGCAGTGTTGAGCTTGCTCTTCCCGAATCCTTCTATCCGCTGTACCTCTGGATAACTGCACTTCAGTTATCCATTCACGTGGCATGTTGCCAAGTCAGTCTGGTTAGGCTTGTCAAGGATACTAATGCCAAGCAGAAAGGAATTTGGGATAATGAACCCAGTCTGCCTAACACCAGATGCAATGTATGGCCTTTATTGCAAATTTATTCTGTTTTCATTTGCTTAACCTTTGTGTTGCCATTTTTGCTCATGCCAAAAAAGTCTCTGAACATGAAAAACCTCAAAATTGAATCACTCGGAAACTGCCACTCAAATGAATTGTGATACAGTAAGCATGTCAGGAAAGAGAAGCAAAGCACTTGGATAATCAGTGTCTACTGGGAAAATCAGGCCTTCACATAACTAAATCATGAAATGCCAGAAAGTATCAGCCGGATTAAAGTGTGATATTAGTTACTTTTGTTGGCACTTGGCCAAGCAATCTGTTCAGACTGGCTACCCAAGAAGTCCCCTAAGAAACTGTAATATGGCAGATGCTGATTTTAATACTTTAGGGTTTTTATCCCTTCATCAGCTTTTGTCTGCATTTTTAAAATGAGGCGGTCTTGCTGAAGCAGTGGCTTGATCCTCAGTTGGGAATTGGCTAGAGGTGCCAGGAAGCAGTAATAAGGCTGTAGGAAAATGGACAAAGAGGTAGAAATTGGACTGTGTAGGGAGTGGGTTTGCTGTACTATTTGGTGTGGCCTTTCATAAGGGGTATGTTTTGATCTTAAGTTTTACTCACTTAGCTCTTGGTCTGAACCATGGCTACAGAATGGATCAAAGAGAATGTTTTGCACAGACTTTACATGACTAAAAATCTTGGGAAATGTCCAAATGTGAAGAAAAACATTAGCTTGTAATTTTCAAGTTAGTTCAGTTACTCTTCACCTAGTATTAGATGGTATATATGGGTTATAACAGTATTTTTAATTGATTAATTGTTTCCAGACATATTCAGTTTCAAGAGCATAGAAAAGATTGGAAATTAAAATGGAAAGATTGGAAATTTTCCTGCTTCCTACCAGGAGAAATCTGCCTAGTCAGAAGGAGGAAGGGGAGTGCTTCTACAGAGATGCTGCTCTATGGTCAGCTTTGGACACTTGCAGTTGTAGAGGAGTGCAGAAACTTGAGCAATAGTTCAGAGAGGAAATGAAAGCATGCCACTCTAGCATCATGCTACATTGACTTAAAAATGTATTTATCTCCCTCCTCATAATAATTAGGACTCTGCTTTAGGGAAATATTTTTTTCCCCTCTTAACCAATTGTATTTTATTGTATGTTGAACGCAGTGAACTGATACTTGCATAAAGAATCAGGTCATGCTGGTACTGGTACAAAGGTCAGTAATTTGACACATTATCCATAATGTTTAATAAATGGACATTGCTTGTTTCTTTTGGCCCCAACTTTTCTAATTGCACAGATCAGCAGAGGATTATTGTAATTCACTAACTTGCCAGTTTTTTCTTTACTACAAATCGACTCACATAGAACAAAAATATATTTGGATCCAGGAGAGGAGGAAGGAATGTATGTCTTCTGTAGTCCATGAAGGCAAACACTAATTTTCATGTAAAATGATGCAAAGGAAATGAAAGCTATGCTCTCCTGCAACTTTATCATGGCTGTCTGAGCTAGGCTTGAAATAAAATTGGAAGTCTTGAAACTATTTTTATAATTGATTTCTTAGTTCAATACAGTTTAACTCTTCTCTCTTTTTCCTTTTATCAGAAAAATGAGTGGTGGGTTGGCACCAAGCAAAAGCACAGTGTATGTGTCCAATTTACCCTTCGCTTTGACTAACAATGATCTGTACAGGGTAAGTTTTAAGAGATGCATTGTTTCGATTAAACTTGTTGACAACAATTTTGACTGTAAAATCAATACTGATATATCAGTTTGTCATGATAAATTTATTGCTAGTGAAATGAAATTGTCTGTTGTTAAATCTTTTAATTTTGTTTTATATTTCAGATATTTTCAAAGTATGGGAAAGTTGTCAAGTAAGTGACCTGATATAGCCTTCTATTTTTGTATCTCTCATTTTAAATATTTTATGTCTTTCCTTCACTTGAAAGTCTTGAGCTTTTTGTAATTAAAGTATGAATGTGGAACTGTATTGAAGTTCTGTTCATTTTTAATAAAGTATAAATTTAATTTAAAAACTGCAAGTTCTTGCAGTTACATACATAATACAAGAATATTTGTGTTTGGGACGAGTTTTGCGAACCATTTCTTAAGAGCAAGTTGTTACATACCCTCAATCCTTTCTCTGAAATAGTTGAAACAGTGTTCTTCTAGTATTATTCCCCTTTCCTTCACCACTGTGGGGCACAGTGGGTAAATGTGAAAGTGGGAGTTTCTTATGTGAACTAGATGTCACTGTTCCCACAACTGCAGTGTAAGTTCTCTGGGATTCTAGAGGAGCTTTTTATTGTGACCACTTAGTATTTTACCTAAAGCTAGATGTAAGTATGTCGGGTATTCATGAACAGTATGTGTGAATATCTGCCTCTGTGTTCAAATGCTAGAAAGAAGTGCCACAGTAAGGAACTGACTAGTTTGTTTCTTTTTTTTTAATTGGTCAGAATGAGGAGACTCAAGTCTTCAGTTTTTAATCCTAAACCAGCAAGTATCTTGTCTAATTTCTAGAGCTCTTGCAATAACCTGTGAGATACAGAGTTTCAAAGTTTGTGAAGTCTCAGAAGTGTGTTTCAGGTGACAAATACCCGGAAAAGCAAATCTATCCTGACTGTTATGACTTCAGCTGAGTTTGTTCAGTAAGAAATAAGACCTTCTATGGCTCCGAGAAGTTCCTCACTTTTTAAAGATTTGTCACAGTTGATTCTTTCTATTCTTGTGTTATTAACTGGCATGTTCAATATCCTGATTAGAAGCATGACAGTCATACCAGGTTTCCACTGGAATTCTTCAAAGAGTAGCTTGGCAGAAAAATTAATACAATCGTTTTAAAGTCAGTTTTATTGACACTTGAACTTAATGCATGGATTTGGACATATCCTGTGCAAGAGGCTTTGGTAGTAAACCTGTTCAAACTTTTTGTGCATGTATTTGGGGAAATTTGAGCTTTCTTTACTGTGTTTTTATTTCATAAACTTTTTACCATGTGGGTCATCCATTACTTACACAGGCTGTATGGTAGGCCTTCTGTATTGAGCTGGGGTTTCGTTTTTTTGGTTACTTCTTATAATTTTGGCTTGCCCCGTGGCTGAACCTTGTTCTGCCTATGGTGGACATAGGGAGGAGTGTATTCCCTACTTTTTTGCCTGTACTTTGACTTTTATGTACATGCAGCCTGACATTCTGGTTCTCACTTCTGGGTTGTTGTTTTGTTAGGTTTTTTTCAGGACTAAATATAATTGACATTAAGACTGAAAGAATTGAGGCTGTGTGCGTTCCAGCCATACACACACCCAGGCCCTGTCTTGTAAATTTTTATCTTCAGGTTTTGTTTTACTATTTCTAGATTTTTATGAACTCCTCAATGTGCTATTGAAGCTGTTGATTTCAGTGTTAGACTGAAGATTTAACTTTGTATGTCATGTAAAATAACACATGCATATATGATCTTTGGATTTCAGTTGGAGGTATTTGTAGAACAGTATTGCATATAGGTAGTGTTTCTTGTAGTGAACCTGTTTAGCTGATTAGTCCTACACAAACATAGATTTCTCTGTCTGGAGGCAGTTCACACTGTGCTTTTCATCAATAATACCAATGGTAAAATTACTCATGAATTTTCCTTTCACCTCCAGTATATCTAGTTCCCTCCAGTTAGGTTGCTTGTAAATCTAAAGATTATGTTCTCTGTTCTTCAAGTCACCCAAGGGAATTAAGAGTGATACTGATCCTAGAAAGACGCACATGCTTTTTAAAAATCATCTCCACTCTACCTCTAAATACATGACGAGGTTAACTGCTCCTTTGAATTTCTGTTTAATGAGTTAAATTTATTGTTAAATATACTTTAACTCTTTTGCTGTGTAACAAAGGTAAGATCCACCTGAGATCTTTAAGGAAAAAATATCTCTGAAGTAATTTTAATGTGGTTCACTAAGATCAATAATGTGGTTATATGTTTCCAGAGTTACCATTATGAAAGACAAAGACACCAGAAAGAGCAAAGGAGTTGCCTTTATTTTGTTTTTGGATAAAGAATCTGCGCAAAACTGTTCTCGGGCACTTAATAACAAACAGGTAAGTTGTGGAAAGTTTTTATGGCAGGAGGGTTGGGCTTCCAGTCCCAAAACATTTACCTTTTCTTTCCAATTTTCTGTAGTTGTTTGGAAGAGTAATAAAAGCAAGTATTGCCATTGATAATGGAAGAGCAGCAGAATTCATTCGCAGGCGTAACTACTTTGATAAGTCTAAGTGTTACGAATGTGGGGTGAGTAAAACAAAAATGCAGAGAAATGCACAAAGATTGTGCGTTGAGATAACAATAATTGAAATAATACTAAATAGTAGCAGTAATAGTACATGGTAATGAAAGTAACAAAGAGAAAAAAACCCAAGAAAGATAAGTGATGCACATGAAAACTATTATAATGACAACCTCCTATTCTTTGCTTCAAAGTACCTGCTTTTGCTATATCTTTGGAAGGTCGTGATTTAGCTGGCAGTAAAATAAATACAGGAAACAACTGTTTTATACAGAAGTGAGTTTTAAGTTTCAATTAATTCCTGACTTTTCTTGAACATAGTAATGTAGGACGATGATATTTGGACAGTATTTAATGTCCAATACAAACTTGATTTATATTCATAACACTTCTTACAGCAAAAATGTCACCTCACTCCTGTGTCTTAAATTGTTAATTCTGAGGTTTCTATCTTGTTTTGAATATAAACCATGTGTAGTGCATTCAGTTATTGTAACACACAAAAAAGTCTACCATGCTTGTAGCTTGTTCTCAGTTTGCAGTTAAACATGCATATCACCACTAATCTCTACATTTCCGTGGCAAGCCTAGAGAAGAGTTTGTCTTCTGTGTGCTAATTCAGCATTCCATTTATCTTACTAATTGCTCCCATTTTTTCCCCCATGAACTTCCCTCATGATACGTTTTAACGTATTGTTGTTTGTAATAGCTTCTGTTAAGCAATATTTCTTTTTCTCCAAGGAAGCAGGACACTTAAGTTATGCTTGTCCTAAAAATATGCTGGGGGAGCGGGAACCACCAAAAAAAAAAGAAAAGAAGAAGAGAAAGAAAATAGTGGAACCAGAAGAAATGTATGTATATTGAGTTACAGGTTACTACTTTTTTTAGGAAGCTTTTTCATACTAAACACTTAAATTAAAGATCTATATTTTTTTTTCTCTTTCCCTGCACAATGAAGTGAGGAGGAAGAAGAAAGTGAAGAGGAAGGTGAAGACCCTGCTCTAGATAGCCTCAGCCAAGCCATAGCTGTTCAGGTACGAAATTGAAGCATGGCATATTTATTATAATTTTTTTAATTCAACTCCCTTTGTTAGCTGCTTTTTGGAAGCTCTGATATACATGCATAGGCCTGTCTGCTCTATAGCACTTAGTGGGCTCTGGTTTGGTAGCAGAAGTTGGTAACTATACTTGGCTTCTTTACGTTGCTGGCATGTTCAGTGGAATTTTGTTTGAATTTCTTGCTCTTTCACTATTGTTCTATTTGTGTGTTGCAGCCTTTTTTTTCCTTGAAGCTCCTTTGGTATTTTCTTGTATCATCTCTGCTGTGATGCTCTGCTAGGTTTTTCCCACAAATGCCTCTCTACTTTGTTGTCTGAGGAGACAAAAAGCCAGTCATGTCTAAGTGACCAGACACATTCTCTGTCCTCACTGGAATGTCCTTGAACATTTATTACTGGGGCACTTCCTTTGCCTAATACAGACCATCACATTCTCTAATAGACCTCATGTCCCAAAACATACTGAATGCAAATTTTTTTTTATGTAGCTAGCTTATCTAACATCTGTATTACTGTCTTTATTACTTCTTTATCTCTACACCCTTTTGCTTCATGAAACAGAACAAGCCTGACCTGATATTCAAATTTCTTGGCTCCCTGGGCAACATTGTTGCCTGTGTGCCTGTCCCCAAAAAAACCCTCAAGAGTTAATAACTTTGTTCTGAATGTGACTGTAATGAGTGCAGGACTTTTACATGATGTAATCAAAAAAGGTGATTCACATATTTTTGCATATTCACAATGTTCTTCTCTTTCCCCAAAAACTTCACAATTGGAAATAAAACCTATAAAGCCAGGAAACATTCTCATTTCTATTGATGCCTCACTATCACCATCCAAAGATTTTTAACTGGTTAAAATAGGAAACTTCTATTTAAACTATTAGTTGAATAACTTTCAGTAATAATCCCCCAAAGGCACTCATTATGTGAATGAATGACTGCAATGGACAATAGATTGAAGACTTATTAGCAGAACAAAGCTGATTCAATAACATCAGTTTAAAACATGAGGCATTTTTTGCTTTAGATCTCAGCTAAAGAGATCTGCTTAGATTTTTCACTTTAGATCTCTCTATATTTTTGGAAGTTTGCCATGGGCAAAATTCCTCTTTTTGAGAATACAGGATGGTCCAGGCGGCTGCTGTGGTGTAGAAAACAGCTTATATGTGAGAACTACTTTCAGAAATGTTTCCTAGTGCTTTGATCACACAGTTTATCTGGAAATAAACCCTTGTAATTCTTTAACTTATCTAAGAATTCAGTGTATATTAAGAATTAGCATTGTTATTTGTAGTGCACCTTAATTTTTATTAATCCCAGCTAATACTTCTCTTTTCTTCATTATAGCAAGCCAAAATTGAGGAAGAACAACAAAGATGGACACAGACTGCAGGGGAATCTTCAATTTCAGATGATTCAAGACGTCCACGGATTAAGAAAAGTGCTTATTTCAGTGATGAGGAAGAACTTAGTGACTGAAATAATACTGTTCTAAATGCACATATAAGATATATATAGTGTACATTTGTAAAGTGCTACAAAGTAATCTGTAATACAGGTTTGTTTTGGTGTTGAAGACATTTAAAATCATAGGGTTTTTTTATTCTGTCCCCTGATTCTTCCATCTTTTTATATCTGTGTCTCAAAACTTTACCTCTCAAGGCAACTTTTTAAGAAAATGGTGTAATTATACATGTAAATCCAGAAAAGTATCTGTGAGAATGCGTCTTGCAGTTAGTGTCTAGAACCAAGTCCCAGCAGTGAAATGTTTCATGAGAGAATTTCCCAAGCCTTTTTTCCTAAGAGGAGTTCCTCTTAGGATGACTGTTAACACCACTGATGCTTTATGTATTGGTCTGTTTGGAAGCAGTGCTTTAGTAGTATTTCAGTAGATTATGAAACTTGTATTAGTTCCTCTGCATAGGGTTGAATTTCAGCTTTAGGCATTGTCTTTTTACTCTTCATGCAGTACTATAATAAATTATTGTTACATCAACACTGTTTCTCCTGACTGCAGTTTGAGTGCCTAACAGTAATTAGGGTTATCCACAGAGTCTTAAATACACTTGGATCTAACCTGCATCACGTCTGAACCTGTTGGCAAAATCCAAAAGGCATAGTTTCCTACATCCCTAAAAAACAGCTTTCATGTGTACTTGGAACCATCATGGTCTCTTAGCAAAGTGTGTTGCCACATATTTTGCACATAAGCTTTTCAGACTTTCTGTGTCCTTAGATCTCTCTAGGATGCTAGGCATGTTGTCCTGTAGCTGGGATCGTTCCCAAAACCACAGACACATGGTGGTAGTGGTACCCATTTTATATTGGTGTGTAGTCTAAAGTCTTCACTTTTAGGAAGCACAAGATAAAATACATTCACAATTTCACACTTTGAATAAGAGACGAGCTGGCCTCTTTCTATTTTCAGTTCTTCCTGTTTGCTCATCAGGATTTGATTTTCTTCCAAATATAGAAAATGTAAATCCAAATATACTATTATGTATTCTTAATTAATACCAATTTACATTCAAATATGTAATTGGGTGCAAAGCAAAGAAACATGCACACACACCCTCTAAGCTAATATAAAGTAGTGACATTCAGAACATCATTCTGGTGTCTTCCTTAAACACAAGAATTCAGAAACAAGAATGAAGTAATTAAAGTTTTTTCTGTGCAAGCTCCTCAGGTCAGCAGAATAGGAAGGACTATTGGGCTCTAGAAACAGGAAGATGTTGGACTCAGTAATCCAAGAAATGTTTTTAAGACCGACTTTGACTTTTTGCTGAAAGTACTGTATATTAAATCTAAAGCATCCTTCACTGAATTTCAGGAAGGTCTCTTAATAGTGAATAGCTGAGAGCTAAACTGCCAGGCATGTTGTTAATAAATTAAAATCATTCTACATCATGTATGTGTGCAATAATGAAGGTTGAGGAGTTCTAAATTCTACTAAGGAAGCAGGTAATGCTGCCAGCAAGCTTTTATTCAAATGTTAGGTTAGGGCTCAATGGCAGTCCAAAAATAAAAAGAAAAAAAGGCAAAATAAAAAGATTATGCCACTATGTAAAAATCAGAGTTGGTCTTCTCAAATACCATATTCAGTGGTGGTTTTTAAAAAAGATAGAAAACTAGAATGTGACAGAGGACCAGTTTAACTTGGTCCATGACTGGTTTGGAAATATTTGATAGGCTGTAAGAATTAAGATTTCAGTGAAGTGATTAGACAGCAAGCTTCCAACTTTTATTTCATTACACCGTGTAATGCAGAAGTGGAACTCACTGCCATGAGACTTTTTTCAGGGTCATGGGGGCAAAAGGATTTGACTTACATGTGGAACACGATATTTTAAAATGTTCAAGTCTCTGCTCAGAAATATCCTCAAATAAAAACCAAAACTGACATTGTTCTGACCTAATACAGCACTTTAACCAGAGTTTCAGTAGCTGAAGCACACTGATGTATCTTTCTAGTCTGTGCTCCTGCCTCACTGCTTTCCCCATAGGGTTTGGTTTTGTCAGCATGAAGCAGTAGCTCAGTCCAGACTATTACAACTGACCCAGTGTTGTTCCTCCATGCTCTTTTGTTCCAAGCATAAAGTCGCATGAGGTAGGTGACATTGGAAAAGAAACAAAAATGAACCTGCTTCTGTGCAGAATTGGCATTAAGAATTTTTTACCTTAAATCATCTTCCTTTAACAGTTTTCTTAGCTCTTAACTTCTGTTGATCAGCAGTGTGTGTAGTTTTTTTATTAGAAGAAAGCACCTAATGCCTAAAACACAGTCTCTAAAGGGACCTTCAGGAACAGGATTTTTGCACTTGGCTTCCTGAATAATTTCAAGTTTCAGTTCTTTGTTGGCAAGGTAACAAAGCATTTCTAGGTGAGAAATTCAGAACGCTAGCATTAGATAGCATAAGTACCTGTTCTTCCTCCTCAAATACAAAGTAGTTTTCTAGAGCACCCCCAATGCAGCTGTTTCTTTTTGGGAGAAAAAAAAAAAAAGCCCAAAATTTCCTTATAACTTTCAGCGTGGAGGGATTTGCTCCTGTTCATGCCTACCCTCCCCTACTCTAATCAGCATGGCTTCAGATTTCCACCTGAATCCCATCAGGGCTGAGAAGCAAGGGAGAGTGTTAACGAGGCTCCTAATTTAGATCAGGCCAAGAGGGTGCAATTAGTGCACAAAGCTCAAGCAAGGCAGTGGTGCTTTTGTCAGTTTGGTATCATAAAGCAGGAACTGGTGTTGGTGCCCCTGGGCCACTCAGGTGAGATTGTGTAGCCTTGTTATCAAAAGAGAGAAGAATAGAAAATGCCTAGTTCTTGTTAGAAAAACCACCGAGTTTTCTTCTGAAAGGTTCATGTTCAACCTGTATGTTGGTTTGGGGTTATTTTTAATACTTTGAGGCCCTACCTTAAGCTTGTAAGCTGAATTCTAGTTTTAGAGTACAAATAATAAGGGTCTGATTGTAGAGAAATTTACAATAAGTAGGAGACTTTTTTAAAAATAATGTCAAAAACTCATGTCTTTCTGCAAATACCTACTTACTTGATTTTGTCTTTTGTATTTTCAAAACAGCTTGAAAATTGTCCAAATATGTTCTGGGTCACAGGACCTCTCATGTATTGAAATGGCTAACACAGTAGTGTCTACAAAATCACTCAGAGATGCCTTTTATCTGTCCTTGGGGAAGAAGGGATATGGAAGTGGATAAGGATGATTAGCTTAATTGATTATAAATGGTGTTACTCATAGTGTGCCTGTGCAGCACTTGTTAAAACCACTGCAGCTATGAGACACAGGAGTAATTTTAGTGCATGTTTAGTAGGCTCCCACTATGTTTTTGGCGCATTCAGGTTGCTACTCTCAGCAGAGCAATAGAAAGGACTATAAATGTAAAGAACTATATGTACCTAAATAGGTGATCTCTGGAAGAAATTGTAAACACTTTATCTTTGGCTTCTGAGTCACTGTGTTTTCTGGGATAGCCCTTCTTTAATCTGCAGAGATGACTGACTATAGCATGGGAAGGTGAGCCGTGCAGCCTGTTTAAAATTTTTAAATATCATGGTTTACATCTAGCTTTTCTAAGCAATTTAATGAGTGCTACTATGAGTGTTTCTATTTTATTTTGCATCTGCAGTGTCAATATGGTGATATATTTCATCACTCTTCTGCTATTGCTGTTCTATAAAAATATTTCAAATAATATTCTTCCAAATGTACTATCTTAAAATAACTGGTATTTGATAGCTGATTGCTTCTTTTTAGTATCGATTACAAAACCATTTTTAGGTGTCCTTAAAATGCTCATCCTCAGCAGCTTCACTTATTTTACAGACCTTAACAGGGTGAAGGTTGTTTCCTGTAGCTGTTGAACGCAATTAAAAAAAATTACTACACTGCTCCTTCTTTACAGAAAAAGGTGTAAAGTGGAGGATTTAATCACTTTTAATGTGGATTACCTTATTTCTTGTATCTGTGCTGGTATCTCTAAAACATATCCAGGAAGGAATAAGCTGAGGAAAGAGTCCATGTAAAGAAAGCAATATTTTTTAGGTTGAAGAATTGTACAGGTTTGAGAAACAAGACATTCCATCACTGTCAGGCTAACCCTGACCTTGCTGTGCATTCAGACAGACGAAATGTGTGCTTATGCATGCATTCAATGGATGTGACAGGTAATGCAGCAAGTAAAGAGTTGCAGAAATTGTGGCAGTAGAATGTGATAAAAGTGTGTGGAACATTTAACCAACCTAGTTAGGGAATGTGGGTCACAGTGGCTTGAAAAAATACCACAGTTACTAATAGAAGTTTCCTGTCTGTCGGATGAATAGGATGCTTCAGAGAATCAAAAGCAACTCTGAGGTTTTAAGTTCATGAAAGGCAATGGCTATGAGCCTACATCAAGATGAGCTGATCCGTGAAAATTCAGTTTTATCAATATCCAGTTAAAGAGAATTAGAAGGCATCCAAATTTAGATACTGCATCAAGCTCAGTGCAGTGCAGCAGAAACTGTCACTTGGTTGCAGGAGTAATGATGCATTATTTTAACTGCTTATGTGGAGGCAGTGGATGTAGATGTGTTCTGTTCAAAGAACAAATGTGGCTGTGGAAGAAGAAGGGTCCCAAAATAGAACCAAACGGCATATTAATGACTGTGGATATACTGTGAAGTTCCAAGGCACTAAATTGTATTTTTAGCGTGGGGTAGAACTGCTTGTACCATGTTTGCTTAATTGAAGAATTAGTGGTTTATATTTGAAAATTATCAAGCTTTTGGTAGTACAAGTTTGTGCTGATGTTCAAATGCTCAAGAAAGGAAGAGAAACTAAAGGAGGATACAGTTCTACAAAAGACCTCACTTGAGATATATTTGATTAGGTGGCAAAGAGCCATCTGCCCACGAAGCCTGGAGCCATGAGGGTGCATATAAAATGAAATGACTGAGCAGCATATGGCAGTTAGGAAGGATGAGAACATGCAGTACTTGGATGCACTGCTTTTGAGTTCATGAACCATTTATCTGGAATGAATGATTGTAGTCCTTGAAATTATGTTCTTTCCAAGAAAGTTTTTGAAAATTTGTCAGCTAGGTTTATTTTCATCTGCTGCAGCATAACATTTTAAAGAGTTTTTTTTTTACTGTGGGAGGTTTTCACAGTAAAAGCTTAACTGAGGAAACTTGGTTAATTAAAATCTGGAACACAGTTCTGTGCAAGGGTGGATTCTCTGCAAGTCCCAAGCCTGTGGCATCCCAGAGAATGCAGGGCCCCAGGACCTTATTCATGTTCATATCTAATTTAGCTGAAGCTGCTGGGGAATGTCCAGAATTCTCTTCATTCACTGCAAAATTTAGGTCAAGCCCATGATTAAGTACTTGAGTTCAGGACACAGTAGGCCTTGAAAAACTTTCACCTTTTTTTACTCTTGTGTTATTTGTGCTAGGATGGTGGATTTTGTACTGTATTACACACCTTTGAAATGGCAAACT